AATGCTGTGTTTTCTATGAAGCAAGAGAAATAAGATCCATTGTTGTGTTGACATGACAATACTAAACTTGTTGAGCTGACCAAGCTGGCACAGGTGTTGAAATCTGTCGTATTTTTCATCAAGTGCAAGAGAATTATGTCTGGTGTTCCTCTCGTATCCTACATCCCCGTGTAAGTGTGTCACACATTCACTAGATGTAGTGACGATGTGTACTATGGGAGTAGGTGAGCCCCTCACTGGGCCTAGACTGTACTGTGTGTACTCTGGGCGAGTGGGCCTCCCTCTGTACCTAGACTGGATGTACGATGGGAGTGAGTGGGTCTTCCCCTGGACAAATAATCTGAGCTACAATCGTCCGACGGACTTGAGTCTTGGAGATGAACACTGGGACCATCATGGCTCAAACTTTGTATGCCAGTGTGGACAACAAAGCCGCAAATACACCTGTATATCTGGTATTGTCTGGTAACTGTGCACCTGGTGTTGCTAGGTACGTGTTCGTGTGATATATTGTCTTTCAACATCTACATAAATCGGTTCACTTGGTATTAACTACCATAAAAACTTACGTTAACAAGGCTATTTTAGGGTTAACTTAGATTAGGCTAGATTAGGTTAAATTAGGTAAGGTTAAGTGAGATGAGGTTACGAAGAGATTAGATTCGAAAAAATTTGGTAAGGTTATGTTATGTTAGGTAAGGGTTGGTTAATAGGTTAAATTTGTTACGTTATGTTTTTGTTAGATTGCTTGTCTAATAAAGGGAAAGAAAATCAGCAGTAAGTGTACAGTAGTCTGTTCTACGCTAACAGTTCAATTCTCACCTGGTATCCCTTAACTTTAATAAGGTCCTTAATCCTGCCGGTGAGGTAGACGAAGTTGTCTTGGTCATAGTAGTCAACGTCGCCTGTGTGGAGCCAGCCGTAGGGGTCGATAGTTGAGGCTGTGGCTGTGGGATTGTTGGCGTAGCCCAGCATGATACTTGACCCTCGCACACATACCTCCCCCTCCTGTCTCTCACCCACCATCCTTCCGGTCCTTACATCCACAAACTGAGTGAGGAAAGTGATCTTAGCGTCAACTGTACTGAAATAAGTTTATTAAATACATTTACTTTGTGTAAATGTGTGGGTGACCGTGTGTGCGTGTGTGTGGGTATGACTGTTTGGACACACTGGGAAACAAATGCTCATTTATAGTGAAGTACAATGACATTGATCTTATAGTCTTATACTATTTGGAAAAATTGAGAGCAATTATCATACATGTTATGGGAACAATAAGAGATATCAAGAAATAAAAGTTGTATCTCATAATTTTAGTTGTTGTTGATTAGTGTAATTAGTAAACTAGTTATGAGCCTCACTACCTTAGGTTAGGTGAGAATCTTACCTTAACCTGTATATAAGGCACCACTTTGCCCACAGAGTCAGGGTGGAGGGCAAGGGTGTCTGGTGTACCGGTGGTCACTGCTGAGAACGCCTCTGTCATACCGTAGGAGTTAATTATTGATCGTCCAGTCTGTGTAACAACGCCAGCATTAGAGTCAAACAATTGAAATGATAACTCAGTATTAATCTAGAGATGTAAGATGTAATTTATGTTAGTGAAAGAAAAAATACTTACGGGACTCTCACTAGATTCCTAATGGCACTGAGGAACTGGTGATTACTAATGATTTTCCGAGTTTTAAACAATTATTATGAACTAAATGATAAATCTATAACAAGTGCAAGACGTATTTATAAAGAATTGTGTTGATATGATCACTGTGGTTACAACAGTTCTAAATGAGAATTGTTCTGACCATAAGGGAAGGTGTGAGGGGACCATGACTTAGCTGGCTCGTCCACTAGAACCTGTCCTATTGAGTCTTCCTCTGGGACTGTCAACGAATTAAGTTTTTGTTTCAATAATGTCATGAACTTAGGAATCTTGAAGGGAAAGGATGCTACAAAATGTCACTTTCATGTCTACAGAGCCTCAATACCAGCTCATATTGACTAACTTTAAAATAAAACTTTGTATGTTTTTATATTACTGTATCTTGCTGTTCACTGTAGCATTGTTAGTGTTTTTCATAAGAAATCTGGATGATTATCGACAATTATCCAGTACGGTAATCTCGGTAACAATATCTGCCGGTTGCACCATGACACGGAAATACTAACAGAACAAGTGATCGTGGGCACCTCCTGCCCGGTGGCGAGTCCGGTGGTACAGTTTACCAAAGCATGAAAGTTCAAACGCTCGTGCTTGGCTAGCGCGCAACCGCCAGAAGGATGGCAGCGTATAGCGACATCGTTTTCCAGCGTAAATAAAATGGCTAATTAATGCCTTCCTAAAGAAACCTTCGACATGGGACCAGTTTTGTTCCACTCTACGAATTTTTGCGATTTTTCCACCAAGTTTGATGAAAAACGATTGTGCCGTTTCGGCTGCCCAGAACAGACACACACACACAGACACACGGCTATTACTATAGTATATGAGATAATTATGGTCGTGGTTGTTATAATCATGGTCGTAGTTGTTATAATCATGGTCGTGGTTGTCATAATCATGGTCGTGGTTGTTATAATCATGGTCGTGGTTGTTATAGTCATGGTCGTGGTTGTTATAATCATATTCGTGGCTGTTATAATCATGGTCGTGGTTGTTATAATCATGGTCGTGGTTGTTATAGTCATGGTCGTGGTTGTTATAATCATATTCGTGGCTGTTATAATCATGGTCGTGGGTGTTATAATCATAGTCATGGTTGTTATAATCATAGTCGTGGTTGTTATAACCATGGTCGTGGTTGTTATAATCATAGTCGTGGTTGTTAAAATTATGGTCGTGGTTGTTATAATCATGGTCGTGGTTGTTATAGTCATGGTCGTGGTTGTTATAATCATATTCGTGGCTGTTATAATCATGGTCGTGGTTGTTATAATCATAGTCGTGGTTGTTATAATCATGGTCGTGGGTGTTATAATCATAGTCGTGTTTGTTATAATCATAGTCGTGGTTGTTAAAATTATGGTCGTGGTTGTTATAATCATGGTCGTGGTTGTTATAGTCATGGTCGTGGTTGTTATAATCATATTCGTGGCTGTTATAATCATGGTCGTGGTTGTTATAATCATAGTCGTGGTTGTTATAATCATGGTCGTGGTGTTATAATCATAATCGTGGTTGTTATAATCATGGTCGTGGTTGATATAATCATGGTCGTGGTTGTTATAATCATAGTTGTGGTTCTCAAAATCAAGGTTGTGGGTGTCATAATCATAGTTGTGGTTCTCATAATCAAGGTCGTGGGTGTTATGATCATGATCGTGGTTGTTATATTCATGGTCGTGGTTGCTACAATCATGGTCGTAGTTGTTATAATCATGGTCGTGGGTGTTATAATTAAAGTCGTAGTTGTTATAATCATAGTCATGGTTGTTATAATCATGATCGTGGTTGTTATAATCATGGTCGTGGTTCCACCAATCATAGTCGTGGTTGTTATAATCATGGTCGTGGTTATTAAAATTATGGTCATGGTTGTTATAATCATGGTCGTAGGTGTTATAATTATGGTCGTGGTTGTTATAATCATAGTCGTGGCTGTTATAATCATGGTCGTGGTTGTTATAAACATAGTCGTGGTTGTTATAATCATGGTCGTGGTTATGATCATGGTCGTAGTTGTTATAATCATGGTCGTGGGTGCTATAATTAAAGTCGTAGTTGTTATAATCATAGTCGTGGTTGTTATAATCATGATCGTGGTTGTTATAATCATGGTTGTGGTTGCTACAATCATAGTCGTGGTTGTTATAATCATGGTCGTGGTTATTAAAATTATGGTCGTGGTTGTTATAATCATGGTCGTAGATGTTATAATTATGGTCGTGGTTGTTATAATCATATTCGTGGCTGTTATAATCATAGTCGTGGTTGTTATAAACATAGTCGTGGTTGTTATAATCATGGTCGTGGGTGTTATAATCATAGTCGTGGTTGTTATAATCATGGTCGTTGTTGATATAATCATGGTCGTGGTTGTTATAATCATGGTCGTGGGTGTTATAACCATAGTTGTGGTTCTCATAATCATGGTCGTGGGTGTTATGATCATGATCGTGGTTGTTATAATCATGGTCGTTGTTGCTACAATCATAGTCGTGGTTGTTATAATCATGGTCTTGGTTATGATCATGGTCGTAGTTGTTATAATCATGGTCGTGGGTGTTATAATTAAAGTCGTAGTTGTTATAATCATAGTCGTGGTTGTTATAATCATGATTGTGGTTGTTATAATCATGGTCGTGGTTGCTACAATCATAGTCGTGGTTGTTATAATCATGGTCGTGGTTATGATCATGGTCGTAGTTGTTATAATCATGGTCGTGGGTGTTATAATCATCGTCGTGGTTATTATAATCATAGTCGTGGTTGTTATAATCATTGTCGTGGTTATGATCATAGTCGTGGTTGTTATCATCATGGTCGTGGTTGTTATAATCATGGCCGTGATTGTTATGATCATTGTCGTGGTTGTTATAATCATAGTCGTGGTTGTTATAATCAAGGTCGTGGTTGTTATTAACATGGGCGTGGTTGTTAACCGCGGTCGCATATATAATCCGCGGTCGTGCGTTATAATCATATCGTGGTTGTTATAATCATAGTCGTGGTTGTTATAATCATAGTCGTGGTTGTTATAATCATGAGCGTGGTTGTTATAACGAGTGGTTATTATAACTTATCATGGTCGCCGTTGTTATAATCATAGTCGATTGTTATAATCATGGTCGGGTTGTTAGAATCAAAAGTCGTGGGTTGTTATGATCATGGTCGGTTATGATCATGGTTGTAGTTGTTATAATTATGGTCGTGGGTGTTATAATCATCGTCGTGGTTGTTATAATCATGATCGTGGTTGTTATAATCATGGTCGTGGTTGTTATAATCATGGTCGTGGTTGTTATAATCATAGTCGTGGATGTTATAATCATGGTCCTGGCTGTAATAATCATAGTCGTGGATGTTATAATCATAGTCGTGGTTGTTATAATCATGGTCGTTAATGTTATAATCATGGTCGTGGTTGTTACAACTCATGGTCGTGGTTATAATCATAGGCGTAGTTGTTATAATCATGGTCGTGGGTGTTATAATCATATTCGTGGTTGCTATGATCATGGTCATGGTTGTCATAATAATAGTTGTGGTTGTTATAATCTTGGTCGTGGTTGTTATAATCATGGTCGTGGTTGTTATAATCGTAGTCGTGGTTGTTATAATCATTGTCGTGGTTTTATAATTATGGTCGTGGTTGTAATAATCATGGTCGTGGTTATGATCATTGTCTTAGTTTTTATAATCATGGCCGTGGGTGTTATAATCTTATTCGTGGTTAATATAATCATAGTCGTCGTTGCTATAATCATAGTCGTCGTTTCATTTTCATGGTCGTGGTTGTTATAATCATGGTCGTGGTTATGATCATGGTCGTTGTTGTTATAATCATGGTCGTGCGTGTTATAAACATCGTCGTTGTTGTTATAATCATAGTCGTGGTTGTTATAATCATTGTCTTGGTTATGATCATAGTCGTGGTTGTTATAATCATGGTCGTGGTTGTTATAATCATCGTGGTGGTTGTTATAATCATGGTCGTGGTTGTTATAATCATGGTCGTGGTTGTTATGATCATGGTCGTGGTTATTATAATCATAGTCGTGGTTGTTATAAACATAGTCGTGGTTTTATAATCATTGTCGTGGTTGTTATAATCTTGGTCGTGGTTGTTATAATCATGGTCGTGGTTGTTATAATCGTAGTCGTGGTTGTTATAATCATTGTTGTGGTTTTATAATCATGGTCGTGGGTGTTATAATCATATTCGTGGTTATTATAATCATAGTCGTGGTTGTTATAATCATAGTCGTGGTTAATAAGCATGGTCGTGGTTGTTATAATCATGGTCGTGGTTGTTACAATCATAGTCGTGGTTATTGTAATCATGGTCGTGGTTATGATCATGGTCGTTGTTGTTATAATCATGGTCGTGCGTGTTATAATCATCGTCGTGATTGTTATAATCATAGTCGTGGTTGTTATAAGCATTGTCGTGGTTATGATCATAGTCGTGGTTGTTATAATCATGGCCTTGGTTTTTATAATCATGGTCGTGGGTGTTATAATCATCGTCGTGGTTGTTATAATCATGGTCGTGGTTGTTATAATCATACTCATGGTTGTTATAATCATGGTCGTGGTTATAATCATAGGTGTAGTTGTTATAATCATGGTCGTGGGTGTTATAATCATCGTCGTGGCTGTTATAATCATGGTTGTGGTTGCTATAATCATGGTCGTGGTTGTTATGATCATGGTCGTGGATATTATAATCATTGTCGTGGTTGTTATAAACATAGTCGTGGTTTTATACTCATGGTCGTGGTTGTTATAATCATGGTCGTGGTTGTTATAATCATAGTCGTGGTTGTTATAATCATGGTCGTGGTTATAATCATAGGCGTAGTTGTTATAATCATGGTCGTGGGTGTTATAATCATGGGCGTGGTTATTATAAT